AAAAAAAAAAATCCATTATACACAAGAAGCTTTTCATTGAGTTGTTCTCTCATAAGAGCATGGTGCTTAGTAATTTCTAAAGACATTTCTTCCTTATTATTATTATGATATTTTATATACCACATAGGTGCGACATGCGTCTTTGACTCGCCAGCGTTCGGCTTTCAGAGCACACCAAAGGCATAGATCAGTAAGTTTTGAAAAAAATCTCATCTACTTCAAAAACATAATTTTTTTTTTTTTTTTTTTTTTTTTTTTCTCTCTCTTCTTTTCATTCGTAAAGTACCTGCTTTTTTTAGTTTCTCGTTTTATGTGTTTTCCTTTTTGAGTTGTAGCAGAATATTTACAATTATAAAAAAAAAAAAAAAAAAAAATGAAAAACAAAAAAAAAAACATATATCATTCATTCGTCTTCAGGGGAGAATTTTTTGAATAAAATTTCTTCTTCGATCGATTTCTTCTTTAATTTAAACAATTATCAGTTATGAGTACGTAAAGAAGCATTTGAGGAGCGATATCTAAGGTTTCTTAGAGAAATTATTCTTTCAAAATGCAGTAAATATGATAAATTATTCCTTACATCTATAAATCCTTTTTTCCGCACCCCATCCCCCTATGCTTCCTAAATATGTCAGTGTAAGACTAGAGAACTTTAAAATTGTTTCGATATTCCGTATCGTATTCCGTATGAACTGCCTCTGCCTCTTGAGGACGATCGCGTATACATACTCAGTATTGTACTCATAACTTATCTCTCTTGGCAATCTATTATCCGATTCCGTTGATCTTCATCAAATATGCAATGAGGTTAAATGGTATTTGCACTTGTTCTTTTTATCGTAGCACATCCATCAAGTCCTTCTTTACTTAACATATCGAAAAGTTGGATTAGGTGAGGTAGGTAGAGTGCTAAAAAGCTTTAGCATCTTCATTAATTGTTCGCCGAACACGTTTAAAACCAAGCTGATGCATATATGGCTAAATTTATTTAAATGGTTTGATTAATGAAAAGAGAAGCGTAGCCAAAATTTTTAAATCGCATCCTGCGCATAATTTTATTTTGTTTATTAGCTGAATTTCAAAGCAAATAAATTCAAGCAATAGTGCAAGTGGTTATTGACCCTTTTTTTATTCACTTTCTAGAACAGCCTGAGCAACTAGTAGTAATGGCTGGCGATCCAAGCTTCGGGCAAATCGAAAGCAAATAATAATGATTAAGAGGCATATTAGTTAACTAATTTACTTTTTAAAAGTAAATTTGTCCGATAATCAAATAATACAAACTCCCAGAATTCGTACCTGACACAACAACGCATCCAAATATCCAAAATGATCCATATATGGAAATCGGCCTACACATTTTTTTTTTTTTTAACGTTCGATCATTCGAAATTAATGTTGCAGATATTGAAAAAAATTGAAAACAAAAAAAAAGTAATTTTTCATAGGAAATGATCGCACCGATGATGTGATATTATTAGAAAATTCTTTTTTTATACCCATCACCGAAGGACAAGCGACATATTCATTTTATCAAAATGTTTGCAACGCCCACAAGGCAGCATCAGAGAGCCCATAAAGTTTATATATATATTCTTAATCATCATCAAATTTTAAATCCGTCCGTCCGTCCGTCCGTCCGTCTGTTGTAAACACTGTTCGCATCTTAAAAACGAAGCTGTCGATTTAAAATTTGGCAGAAACATTGAAAGTCCTTGCACACAGGTTGATATTAAAAATATCCAAATAGCCAAATCGGGCGAAGGACAGACAAGCCTACAATACTGCGTAAATTCAAAACTCTTCTCTTTTTTAAAATGAAAAAAAAAAAAAATTGGTTTTTTAATCGTTACTCATAAAAATGGAAAAAATTGACCACGCCTACCCAATATTATATGTTATCAATATTGCATTTTTTTTCAATAACTTCATAAGGCGCAGAAACAATCTGCAAAAATTTCGTCCATCTGTCTGCCCAGCTTCGGTAATATTTATGCTAAATAATCTCTCGTTAACGAAAATGAAGATATTTTCAAAACAATTTGAAAGTGACGTAAACTATTTGAAGGACGCGCCTACAATGCGCATACGCCTAAGCGGCAAAAACTTTATTTTCTTAAACATTGAAAAAAATATGTCACGCCCACTTCATAGAGGATCAAAATTTAGTTCTCACATTTTAAAAAATTTTTTTTTTTGCGGGCTACACGGTGATGGGTATACAAGATTCGGTCACGAAAGAATATAATTGCATTATATTGCATTACCTTTTGAGATATAATCTTAAGACATATTAAGTAAATCGATCTCTGAAGACATGGAATTTTATGTCCGTAAATGATCACTAATGTTCGCAAGTTTTCCGATTAATTATAGAATTTAAGTTTTATTATAGTAGGTAACGTAAGACCCCACCAACTTAATCAAGTCAAAGAAATACATCTAAAATTTCTATTCATCTTGAAGGTTGGATCTGTAATATCCATCAAATAGATTAAAATTGCAATATACTTTGCCTAATATGGGGCGTGTCAATTGATCGTTCAGTCTTATTTTTATAACAACGGATAATTTGATCTCTAGCTTTTGTGTTACACATTCAGAACGCTATCATCTCTTATAGACTTTTTAGTACTGAGTTATAGCTTTTTGCCCATTATGCAGCCATTTGTAAACGGGTGAAGCGATCGCAGATCCTCAATTTTTCACTGTGATGTACTTTTGGTCTTAAATGTTTTCGAATAGCTTTGGCATCGCATAAAGGCTACGAATTGCAAATGATATTATTTTGCCTGTTGTAGCGGTAGTTGCGAGCTGATTATATGATTACATGTTTCTAGCCTAGCCTAGCCTAGCCTAGGCTACCTGATCTGACCTAACTAAAATAGTGCATACATCATATAGCGGATTTCTATTTTGAGCTCTTGTAGTCGTGAGCTTTTCAATAACTCACTCGAATTGATGAAATCAATTCGAAATCTTATGGTGATGTAGAATGCATATATAATTTTTTGCATCTGTATTGGGAATTTTTAGGTGTTCGAAAAGAAAAACGAACGAGTCTTGGTGGTAGTGGTGGATACCAAAATCTAATTTTGACAAATTGTCAGAGGCGATTATGAAGCGATTAACGTTGACAAACAAAAAAAAAAAAAAAAAAAAAAAAAAATATAGTTTTACGATTTTTTAAAATTATATAACGATAGATTTAAATTTGAAACTATTGGACATTTTACAAATTGCGATTGAATAGAGAATTGCGAAAGCGTTGTTTCCCATATAAAATAAATTTGTGAAAACAATGCCTGATCAGCTAAGCGATATATAAAAAGAATTCAACGATCGTTTTATATTTTATGTTTGATTTGTTGTTAACCACCATATGGTATATAACAAAAATGGAATTAATTTTTAAAATTATTTGAACGACTCTAGTAGAAGGTGGTGGATATCCAAAATTTGCCATAAATTATTTTCAGTTCTTCTATTATTCTTCTCTATTATTTGTTGTAATCTATTTTTCTTGATAAGTTTAAGATTTAATTTTTATTATCGAAAATTCTTTTTAAATTCTTTATTTAAATATACACTGTTTACATGATATTATCTCCTTTTTTCATATATTATTTTACTAATTAATTGAAATTTTATTAATATTTATTATTGATTGTCATTAAAAATAACCAGTAATAAAAAAAATAAATTAAACACATATATATATATATATATATATATACATATAAATAATTTTAGCGCGACGAGACGTCTAGCGATTTGTCTAAAATGTTTGAGTCCTCTTCTACTACTGCGAATGGCGGGGATATTCTTAGTTCTAGTCTTACACCTTCCATAGCAACGATTGCCAAGAGAAATGATGATATAAACGATGAACAGCGGCCTATGCCGGCAACGACATGTTCGCAACAAAAACAAGAGATAAATGCAAACAGCGTGAACAGTCATTGGTCCAGTGCATCAACGCAGCCAATGTCATCTTCAACGACAATTAATACATCAGAAGCCGGTTATAATAGCAGTGACAATATGTTAAGCTCGGCCTCAATGTCCCGTAAAGCAAGTACCGCATCCGAATATACGTCACTTTCATCCGATTACACACCGGAAAATACAATTACACCGAACTCGACATTCACAATGGAGAATCGAAATGACGATAATTATTTCGAAATAAATGATAACGTGGAATTGTCAAATGTCGGGATCGCACAAAACAAGTCTGGCGAGCCTGATTTGTCGACAGAAAGCGATGAACAGAAATGCTTAAGCAATTTGGCACTTAAGGGCATTTCGCCCATTAGCCATGACTACGCCTCTAGCAGTTGCCCTGTTCAAAACACGGTACCCGTGGCACGTAAAGTGTCTCGTTTCTACGTAAATCCTGTAGTGCTGCCACGCACTGACAGTTCTTCCTCTTCAGGTATAAAATTTCAACATACAAAAACATTAAAAAGATTAATAATAATAATAATCAAAATAATAATAATCAAAATAATCAATCACGTTTCGTTCAAAAGTGTTCAATTCAATTAGAAACACGTAGCAAAGCGTCCGTTGTGTATCACGGCAAAAGAAAATAATCAACGATCAACGATGATGTGATTTCTCTACAATCTACCGATCCGTTTTTAATGTTTTCAATGTTTCAAAATAATTCAAAGATGAAAAAAAAAAAAAAAAAATTAATTAATTTGTTAATTAATTAATTAATTAATTAATTAATTATTGAATTCAACTCTCTTAAAATTCCTTTATTAGTTTAACAAAATTCATATTCTATGCATTTAGTTTAATGTCCGTCCAAATTGTATTCGGTTGACGTTAGATCCTTACTACTTGCAATTAAATCGAGATATCAAACTTCAATTTTTGTAAAATAAAGCAATCAACCTATTGCTGATAATATATAATTAGGGAAGCAAATTAAAAAAGAGCGCGCGAAAGACTGTTTGATTTGAAAAAATAAATAAATGAATAAATAAATGAATAAATAAATAAATAAATAATAATTTTTATTAAATATTGGAGCAGTAGTAAATTTTAAATGAATGTATTTAACTGCTCCTATAATAGTAATCGTGTATTTTCTCTATTCATACCTGTCCGCTTTTTTATGTTGTTGCGCATGTGTATCATCACTGTGTTATTTTTATTGGGATTAATTATTCAATTATTAAATGGATTTGTCTTTGAACGTGCGTGTAGTTCCAGTACATCAACAACAGCAGCAGCAGCAGCCACAACAGCAACAGCAACAGCAACAGCAATTACAGCAACAACAAGAGACACAGTTACAAAACGAAGATGCAAAAACTAATGGAGGCGTTAGCGGTGGCGGTGGCGGTGGCGGTGGTGATGCTGCTGTTGCGGACGTGATCGGTACCAGCGTTGGCTCCGATTTATATTCGAAACAATGCATGATTCATGAGCAAAACAAGGATCCGAATTTCAATGAACTACAGCAGCAGCAGCAGCAGCAGCAGCAGCAACAGCAGCAACAGCAGCAGCAGCAGCAGCACAATGGTAACAGCGCTAAAACGGTAACCAGTGGTATTGGTGGCACCTTATTAACATCAAATACGACTAGCTCTTTAGAACAATTAAAAATTGAATTGGAGAATATAACGCATGCGCAAGCATTTGCTTCAGCTATTGTTGCCTCAATAAGTAACGATCATACATTAGTCGCAAATGCTCAGATATGCGGAGGCTGCGGAGGTAATTCGCAATATGCTCCTCCCAATCCGCCACAGCAACAACAACAGCAGCAACAACAACAACAACAACAAGAAAAACAGCAGCAACAACAACAGCAGCAACAGCAGCAGCAATCACAAGCGCAGCTACAACAAGAAGAGGTAGATAGCCAAATCAAGATATGCATGGTGTCTTGCATTATATAAAACTCTTTTTACACTTTTGCTTATATAATTTCGTTCAATTACCGCTACGTGGTCAAAGTACTTTTAATAACTGCACTATGTTTTTCTTTGTTGTTATTATTATTTTACTAAAACCACCATAGCTAAGCCAATCATAAATCGTATTTAACTAATGCACAAATACATTATTACTTCTTCTCCGTCATATTTCAATATATTAAAATATTATATAATGCAAAATCCAATTTAAATATGATATAAAATTTGCTTGAGTAATTGTTTCCGATCCAAGTAGAAGTGCACACAAAATAGTTTCAATTTCGATTGAAAATAGATATTAATTAGGGCCAAATAACAATGGGAAGAAGAAGAAGAAGAAGAAGGATGGGTATGTTTACTTCGTCTTTGTCATTTTAATTGGTGTAGAGCCGGGAAGGAGACACATATAAAACATATACAATAAAATTTAATTCCTACATAAAATGTATATATATTATATATATATATATATATATATATATATGCATGCTATGCTCTTATTGTCTGTTTTTGAAACATTCATCGCAATCGCAATTATCGAGATATGGGGAATTACAAATTAACAGCTTGGAAACGAGTCTGATGCGTCCGCAACCCAATACTCAAGTAACTTTAACTTCATCGAAAAATCCCGATTATCAAAAATGATCCAAACAATAGTTTACAATACTTTATTTATAAATACATAGGGGGATACGCTACAAAAAAAACAAAAAAAAA